CCTGTCTTCACCAATGAATTTCAAATCCTTCATTAGTAACACACAATTAAAATCTACATACCCCTCAAAATACTAACAGCAAGGTGCTGAATTCTAAATATAAGCTTATTACATCTAAGAACTTGCTCTAAAAGCTGCTAATCGCGCTACAAAGTCATCATAATCAGGAAGTTTTGGATGTACATGASCCAGTGGACTTAAACCTGAATCCGGTTGAAACGTAGCTGCCCTTGCAATCCCTTTTCGTTCATTTGTTGCACTTACTGGTTCATGCGGAAGTGAACCTGCTCGTGTTGGACCATAAGCATTGTTCACCATGCTTGAATCAGCCGGTAATTTCGAAGCCTTTCTGCTGTAGTGACTCAAAAGCTTGTCCATTTTCTTTTCAGCTTCATCTCCATGATCAAGATCACGGTTTTCACCATTCGAAATTTTTGGACATGGTTCTGAAACTTCATTGGTCACTGGCTTTAAGGCTCTTCGAATCCGCACTGATCTTGGTACCGGCTTGGTTATATTTACAGACTCTTCACATTTTGATCCAGCTACCTTTTCTTTGCTGGGACCAAAAGAAGTACTGGAAATTGTAGCCTTTTTCCTTAAATCTGTTTTGATGTATGGAGGAGCCATTGATCTGAATCCAGACGGCTTTCTTCTCTCTTGTATATCCTCAGAACAACTTTGAAGATTACCATCTTTACATTTTGATCCAAATACCTCTTCTTCCCTACCAAATCCGGAAGAGAGATCCGAAATCGTTGCCTTTTTGGTTGAATCTGTTTTGATATAAGGAGGAGGAGCCAAGTGTTGTATAAACATCATTGAATTCAAGACCAATGTAACCACTTCCTACAATAACTATCCATTCTGGTACTGTCTCTAGTTTTAGTGCATGATCACTGGTTATTACGGTCTTACCTGCAGGCAGCTGATCAGTAACATTATGAAGGTATTAAACAGTTAATTTCAACATCAGATTATAATGCTCTTGCAAATAGGGAACTATAGTACAAAAATAAACAACATAATATATTCAAGTGAAACAGAACTGTGTTAAGTAAATAAGCAGATAACTTGCAAAAAGAAGACAATCGCTGAAAGATTCAATTATTTAACTACTTCATGAACACAACAGATGTTTGCATATTCAAGCTTGTAATAACTTTTTTTTAAATGGATTCTACTATACGTTTTTGGTCCCTAATAAAGGTGGAAGTCAAGACACCGACAATAACATAAATGAAAAGAAGATTTCAAGCAAGAAAATGTGTGAAAAAACATTTACCTAGGGAATCAGGTGGTAGTTGACCAATGAACTACAAAGAAAAGATACAGGTTAAATGCTGCAGTGCTAGTAAACCAGTGTTAATAACATGGAGAACTCCTCATAGAACACCACAGCTACCCTAAGGTAACATACAAATCCAACATGTCAAATCTAGATAGACATATATGAAAGACAATATGTATAAATGCTACAAATTAAATAACATTTATGTACCAAGTAATAGAGATACCTATAAACCAAAAGACTTCATATGGTGTTCATTCTGAAGCTCCTGCATGCAACCACTGACAGCAAGAAGGGCTTTGGAAGGAACACAACCACGATTAACACATGTTCCACCAACCACATCACCTTCGATGATGGCAGTTTTCAGACCCTGCAGAGGCGAAATTCAAATTTAATCATCCAAAAATCCACGTTTATAGGACGGACAGAATACAATTGATTCTCATAATAAGTAATGTGAAGCAAATTGGATCATGTCCTTAGGGGAAAAGCCACAGGGTAAATAGGATATCTTTAATTTAACTTCAAACATCACAAGCTATTGGTCTAGCCCTTTCATTGCCATGTAAAAGAACATCACTACTATATGCATCAATATTAGAAAGCAAAAACAGTGATAGCTTTAGGCTCGTCATGGCAATTCTAGTTGGCAACTTCAGTGACCTTCTCTAATTTAACGAAGAGATTTACACATCATCAGTTGAACCAAGTATAATGGTACTTCACATTCTAAATCTTGACAAATACGCAAGTTAAATCAATATCTCATTCTATGTGCTTACACTGAAAATGTTATATTTTCTCAAATATATAAATCTAATGCAAAGAAGAAAAATACAATTCACCCAAGGAGATCCTGAAATCGAGTTTCTTGCTTCTACAATGACAACGTTCAATCGATCCTAGACGTACAATAAAATAAAAATAACATAAAATAAAAACTTAACAAAGTGATAGAAAGGGAAAACCATGGTTGGCATTACCTTCTCAACAGTAGGAAGAACAGCCCCATGACCACCAACATTTCTGGTGTTGAATAGTGATGGAGCTTTGATATCATACTAATCCTTCTTGGAAAAGGATTAGCTCTGTTTATATATAAAAATGGATAAGRTAAGTAAACAATTTGTTCAAAATACCACTACTGCTGTGTGAAGTGGAACCATATGCAATTCATTCGTTCATGCTACATATGTGTGTGTATGTATTGTACAATCGCGTGGGTACACCAGCTTGCTTTTCCTTGAACCTTGCTTGTTCTTCAAGACCGTGTGCACTAAAGACCATGAGGCTTGAGAATATAAATCCTCACACATTAACAGCAACAGCAGGCATAGGGTTTAGTTGTGAAATACTTGTTGTATTAGTTGTGTATATG